GGGGCTCCTAGAGCCATACACTTCCTGAGCACCCTGAAAACCAGAGCAGGACACCTTGAGATGAAAGCAAGAATTGTGATGCTTATCAAAGGAATTACGTTTTCCTGAATTATAGAAATGTCATCTCTCATAGAATTTCCTCTCTAGTATTTTACAGTGTCAAAGTTGAATCCAGATCAATTGTGGGTCTGAGACCACGGTTAGGATCTGACTTTGTTCTTGGCTTATCTCTTGCAAAACCACCTGCGGTTTGCTAACACAGGATTTATCAGTCTTCTAATTAAGCAGGGTAGGCAACACCTTCCTTGTTTGTTTTGAAAAGCCAGGTGGCTTCAAGAAACAGAGGTGAAAAGAAATGTAAAATTGCATTTTTCAAAGTGGGTGAAGGGCTGGTGCCATTGGAGTCACCTAGCTGCTTTAAAAATACACATTCAATGTTTCATCCTCCCTATCTGTTTCACCAGGATTTATAGTAGTGGATCCAGGGAATATGCCTTGTTTGACAGCCTCCCTAGGTGTTTCTTACATTGTCTAAGGCTTGATAAAGTGATAGATAAAGTGATAGATAAAAAAATAGATTTCTTAAGTTTTATGTATGGTTCTTTAACATTATAATTTTTGTCTTCAACACTATTTAGATAACAAAAGACTAACAATGCCTGTTTGGGTTTTTTTCAAAATACAATTGTGAATTCCATTGAATTTCTGATTAATGATAGTGTGTTTGTCTTGAATAGCATTCCTTTTGTGTAATCAGTCACTTACCTGCTGGCACATTATTCTAGTGACTTATATCACAGATGTGTTCTTCTCGAGCACTAAAGCAGCCCCAGACTTGAACTGCCTCTTCGGGTGTTCTCACACTTACCGTCTGTATGGTCTTGGGAAAATTGCTTCATCTGTCCAAGCCTCAGTGTGTAAGTAAGATGAGTAGAATAGTAAAGACTTCTCTCAGAACTTCATTGTAGGCAGTAAACACAGTTATCTTCTTAAAGCTCTGATAAACATGACATAAATGCTAAGCATAATTATTGGAGATTTTAGAAAGCCCAATTAGGGGAAAGGTAAGCTCACTTATCCTAAAGAACTCGAGATAGGTTGCAAAGGAAATGTTTACTGTCCCTTGCCCTGGTAGGCGTCCTGCTGCTGGACAGCTCCAGATTACAATCAGAGTTCAGAAATGTAAAGCCTCAAATCTTGAAGACTTAAAAGCTACAGATTTGATTTTAAATTCCTAAAGAAAATCTTTTAATGAGCCGAATACCAACATCAAATTGGTAGTTCAAATGGAATTTGCTGTATGTACATTCATCAAAGCTGCCTAAATTAAAGGAAACTCCATGTTTAAAAAGACTTAAAAGCCAATTTAAAATACTTTCCTGAAATAATTTGCTATGATCTGAAAGCCCCTTCCAACATTCATGTTGAAATTTAATTGCCATGTAAACACTGGTAAGAGGTAGGACCCTAAGAGGCAGTTAGGTCACCAGGGCTGCGTTCTTGTGGGTGGGTCACTGCTGTCACTGTGGGAACGGGTCCCGGATGCAGTTTCCCTGCTCTCCTTGTGTGCTGGTTTGCCCTTCCTCCACACAAACAACAAGAAGGCCAGCGCCTCCGTGAACTTCCTGCCACCAAAGCTGGGAACCAGGTAAAGTGCTACAGTTATACCTGGTCCAGATGACTGCAGGACCAGTGGTCTTGGGCAGGCCCTTTGTTCCTTATGATTCAGTATTCCTCATGTGTGAAATGGACACAACAGTAATGGCTTTATCTTCTCATCAGATTGTTCATATTATTCTGACCCAATCTTGTACTGACTGCTCAACCTCAGCTGAAGTTCCACCCCATCCTAATCTTGTTTTCCTTGAGGACAGGCTCCCTCTAGGCTAGAAGCTCCTCTTCAGGTGGGGTAGTCCAGACTGGTTGGATCTAAGATGACTAAGTGACCACCAGACAAGCTCTAACTTCATTATAGTGCCAACTGCTAAATGGCATATTCCCCAAGGCCGTGGGTGGCCCAGTGCCCTGACAGTTACCAGAAAGAACCATTAAAGAAGCAAAAAGAAGTGGCACCTGAATTCCCAGAAAAGACAGGGCCATCCTGCCCTTATTAGCCTGTCCCTTCCACTTCATTTCTTTTGCCCTGTATCCATAACCTCCTGACTCCAATGGGTGGAGAAGTTGATTTGTGGGTTCTGTCTCCCACTTCTATTCTTGGCCAAGAATAAAAGAATCCTTCACTACTCAGTCTTGTTTTTGGTGCCAAAATTCCGAGAGGGAAAAATAATCCAGTTTGGGGTCAGAACTTGGTAACTTTAGGAGGATCAAATAAACATAGTCAGTGTTCACTGCAAATGTCTCTTAGTCCATTATTTTAAGGCTTATTATTTCCTTTTTAAAAAATTATTGCAATCATTCTGTGAAAAGAAGTAGCATAAATCCAGTCTGCCTCTTCTCGGAATATCCAGTAGTTTAGTTATATAAATAGATATTAGGTAACCAATTACTTCTTTACTCATGAATTTATTCAACCAATATTTATTAAGTACATATTACTTTTAAGGCCTTGTATCAGGTACCCTGAGATACAAGAGTGGGTAACATAGTTCCTTTTGACATTAGAGAAACTCCAGTTTTAGGAATTTATTTACCTAAATACCTAAATGATGATTTTTTTCTGTAATATAGATTTGCTGCAGTAATTGGCTTCTTGGAATAGTTATATGTTCAGGGGTCACTGATTTACCAAAGGAAAAATATAAATTGTGCAGTAAGACTAACAAGCTTCCATTTCTTCTCTAACCTCCAAGAGTTAAACCAGCAACACTTGAGGGCAACCAGACACTAAATTACCAACACGTTTTGCTTTTTTCCAGTTAGTGAAGGCTGAAGCTCTTTGAAAATCTTGTAACTTATTCAGGTGAGGAAAGATGTGTTCTACCTACTAAGCACATGTCATTCAATGATAGCGGGGACTGAGTCTGTCCTATTGTCTGACTAATCCTTAGCACGAACCACACTGCCAGACAATAGATGATTTATAGGTAAGGGCTGGGGATGTAGCTCAATGGTGCCGCCGCCTGCCTGCCTTGTAAGCACAAGGTCCTGAGTTCGATCCCCGGTACCAAAAAAAACCCAAAACAAATGCAGATAGGTAGATAAGTAGACAGACAGATAGATAGATGGAGAAGAAAGTTTTATACTAATATCTGCTACAAAATATTATTTTATTCTTTAGTAATCATTGTCATTGGCATGTTTTTATTTTGATAAGTGGAATTGTATGTATTTCAAAACTTCCACAATGACAACCCAATTAAGATTAGGTTCATTTTCAAATTTTCGAGACAAAAAAAGCTAAATAAAAACAATACATAAATTAAGAAAAAAACAATAGAAATTTGAGAATGATGAGAAATATGCACCAAATGAAAACAGGATACCAAATTAATATAAGTTGTGAACTTACTCTATTACTACTACTTTGTAGGTAATTTTATTACTTTATATCTTTGATTTTTATCTATTTTACAATATTAGCAATATTCTTTTTGTTTCACAGTCATATAAACATGGACATTAGTAGTACTAAAATAAAGTAACAACTGATAGAACTGTAAGAATATGTAAGTAAATTCTAAATTAATAGCTAGGTATTTTTAAAACTCGTCTCAGTAATTTTAGATATTTCCTGTGTCTTAATGTAAATGTAAGACTATAAATTTTCCTCTAAGCATTGTCTTAGCTATATTCCACATATCTTGATTTGCTGTGCTTTGTTTGGATTCAGTTCAAGTTTCGTTTGGATTCTTTTGTGGTGCTAGAAGTCCAAGGCAGGGCCTCACATGTGCTTAGGAAGTGTTCCACCACTGCTTCCCTCTCCCCCTTTTCCATTTGAGAAAAAACATCTCTCTCCCTACTTCTTACTATCTGTCTTTTATTTTGCTCTTTATTTATATATTTTTTTAACCTTGCAGCTTTCTCTTTGATCATGAATTATTTAAAGTATGTTGTTTACTTCATATGTTTGGCAATTTTGTTCTCTTTGTGTTATCGATTTCTAGGTTGACTCCATTATGGTCAGAAGACACATTCTGTATGTTTTTATGTATGTTATCCAGGCCGGCATTAAATTTTTGAGCCTCCTGCCTCAGCCTCCTGAGTGCTGGGATTACTGACATGTGCTACTAGCATGGCTTGATTTTAATTCTTTTAAATTATTTGAGATTTTGTTTTATGGCCCATGACATGGCCTTTGTGTATGTTCTGTGCTTGAGAAGAATATATTCTGTTTGGAGAATGGAAGTTTCTATAAATGTCAGTTACAATTTGTTGGTAAGTGGTATTGTTCGGTTATATTATTTTACTGATTGTCTATCTAGTTCTTTCAATTAGTTATGAAGAGGGCTAAGAAAGAGTTGAAGTTTCCATTATTGTGAATTTGGCTCCCTTTCCTTTCAGTTCAATCACTTTTGCCTTCATAGGTTTTGCAATTCCTCCTGCTCCTCCTTCTCCTCCTTCTTCATTCCGTTTTTCTTTGCAATCCTGGAAATTGACCCCAAGGTCTTTGCACTGAGCTATATTCCCAGCCCTTGTCTACTTTTTATTTTGAGCCAGGGTCTTGCTAAGTTGCTAAATTGCCCAGGCTGGGCTTGAATTTGTGATCCTCTCTTAGCCTCCAAGAAGGCTGGGATTACAGGATCGAACCACTTTGCCTGGCTTGCTGTTCTCTTGGTTGTTCCATATATATTTAGGATTGCTGTTCTTTTGACTGCTACTTTATCATTATGAAATATGCCTTTCAGTTACTGGCAATTTCATTACTATATTTTAAGTAATATTAATGTAGAGCCACACACTCTTTCTTTTAATGTTTGTATGACATCTCTTTTTCCATCCTTTTATTTTCAAAATATCATTATGTTTGCAATTAGGTTCATATTGCTTGCATCATGTTTTTTATTCCACTCTGCCCATCTCTGTCAGTTGGTATAATTAGATCATTTATATTGAATGTTATTGTTATGTTATGCCTTTTATCAACTTAGCTCTTCCAGTTCTCTTTGATTTTCACTTTTATATGTTCTTTTTCTGTCTTAATCTATTTACTACTGCGTTACCAGAATACTGCAGACTGGGTAATTTGTAAATGTAGGAATTTCACTTTTCCAGTTCTAGTAGCTCAGAGATCCAAGGTTGCAGGGACACACTGGTGAGGGGAATGGCATCTGACCAGAGTAGGCCCAGGGCCAGTCTCTTTTTCTATAGTGAGCCCACCTGGTGACAACTGACCACTATTGTCTTAGGAGCATCAGTGCGTTCATGGGAGTGAACCCTTTGGGACCTAAACTCTTCCTACTAGGCCACCTCTTCGTACAGTGGCAATTAAATTTCAACATGACTATTGGAGGGGACATTCAGCCCATTGCATCTTCCTTCCTGTAGGCTGCTTAAACAATTTCTTAAAATTCTATTTTGTTTTATTTATAGTATTTTCAGCCTATCTCATATCAATATGTATCATATTATACAATATCTATACTACCTTATATATACCCAACTTACGTGAAGACTGTTGGTGTTAAGATTTGATCAGCTTGAGGGGAATGCAAGAACTATATCTTACTTTAGGTTCCTTTAACCTCTACCTTTTATGATTGTCTTCAAAATTTCTTCTCCACTCATTTAGAATCATATTACATAATAGAAAATGCTAGCAGAAAAAGAAAATGGATTGCCTTTGCTATATTTTTATTTTTTCTGATGTTCTTTTTCCATCATTATTTCTTTTATCATTTCCTTTCTCTTTCGAGAACACCTACCGGCCATTCATTTTGGGCTGGTCTGCCTGGCAACAACTGTTTTTAGTTTTCCATTATCTGAGGATATCTTGATTTTTCTTTCCTTGTCGAAGAATATTTTCAAGAGTACAGGACAATCATCGCTGACATTCTCAGCTGACAGTGATTTCCCACCAGCCCTGGCAGCAGGCTCCCTCACTTCTGCGAGCTTCCTGCCTTTGAGATTGTTTCTCCCTACTGCAATGAGTCATTTCTCTCTTGCTGGTTCTAATATATTTTCTTTTTGTTTCCAAAGGTTTGATGTACATTGTTGTGGATTTCTTTGGAATTACTCTTTTGTGGTTTTTTCAGCTTCTTGAATCTGCTCTTCTATCTTTTTTCCCCGCAAATTTGGAATTTTTTAGTCTTTGAGTGCTTTTTAGCTCTACTCTCTTCTTTCCATTCAAGACCCCAACCGCACAAATATAGATTTTTTATTGTATTCAGACAGGTTCCTGGGGCAGTGATCATTTTCTCACAGTCTATGTTCTCCAGGTTCCAGACTGGGAAAGATCTGTCCTCCAGTTCATGGGTTATTTCCTTTATGTTCCTATTCTATTGAGGATTCTTGTGTTTTGTTTCATTTTTGCAGCATGGTGGATTGAAACAAGGGGCTTTGCCTTGAGTTACATCCCAGCCCTTATGGGAAGGAAACTTTATTTTATTTTGAGCCATGTCCTCACTATTTTGTTAGCTGGAATTTGTGATCCTCCTGCCTCAGTCTCCCAGAGTGCTGGGTTTAGAGGAATGTGCCACCACACTTGCTAAAGATTTTACTTGGGTTATTATATTTTTCAGTTCTGAAGTTCCAGTGTATTTTTTCTTTAAATCTCCTATTCATTTTAGCTTATATTTGTCTTTTCTTGTCTTATTTTATTTTATGATATGAACATTTCACACTAGCTAAACACTCTGGACAAACTTCTAAGTGTATAATACATTAGTGTTGACTATAGGTATGATGTTGTATAATAGATCTCCAGAGCTTGTTAATTTTGCCTACAACTTTATATTCATTAACCAATGAGTCCTTATTTTCTCTTTCCTGTCCTAGACCTTGGAAACAATCATTCCAAACTTTGATTCTATGAATTGGACTATTTAAAAATGCATCATTTAAGTGTAATCATGCAGTTGACCTACTCATGTGGGCGTAAGGTGAGATCTCATGGTGTTGATTTACATTGCCCTAATAATTCGTGATATTAACCATTTTAGTATATATATTTATCTATAATTTGTATATCTTCTTTGGAGAAATGTTTATTCAAATCTTTAGATTAGGACTTTAGTCTTTTACTAATGAGTAGTAGGGATTCCTTATATATTTTGGAGATTTACAGGTATCAGATGTATTGTTTACAATTTTTTTTTCTCATTCCATAGGTTGCCCATTCACTGAGTTGAGTGTTTCCTTTGCTGTGCAGAAGTAGTTCAGTTTGATATAATCTCATTTACTTATTTTTTGGTTTCTTACCTACTTGTCATATCCTTAAAATCATTATCAAAAACTAATGTCATGAAGACTTCTTTATATTTTCCTCTAGGTTTACTGCTTCATGCCTCACATTTGAATCTTTAATTCAGTTTGAGCTGATTTTTGTACATAGTATAAGAGTGCATGTAAGAGTCCAATTTCATTATTTTGAATGTAGACATCAAGTTTCCTTTCTCATTGTGTATTATTGATTCCCTTGTCAAAAGCCAGATCAGCCATCTGTATATATGTGGATTTCTTTCTGGGCTTGCTTTTCTCTTCTATATAAATGCCTGTCTTAATGGCAGTATCATCGTGTAGCTTTGTAATACATTTTGAAATCAGAAAGTTATGCCTCCTGTTTTGTACTTCTTTCTCAAGATTGATTTGACTATCATTATGGTTTATATCTCAATGTTCCCCCAAATCCGCATGCTTTCATAAGTGGGGCTTTCGGGAGGCAAATGGATCATGTGGGCATCAGTAGATTAGTCTTCTGATAGATTATAGCTAAATGCGATGTTGAGAAGTGAAGCCTGGTAAGAGGGGGTGACCACTGGGGGCTTGGCCTGGAAGGATCTATCTTCCTCCTCCTCCTTTGACCTTTCTCTGCTTCCTCCCCCACGCCACAGACTTTCTTCTCTGTGTTGCCCCTCCACCATGCCTTTCTGCCTTTGAGCCAGCTGATTATGCATTGAAACCTCTACAAACTGTGAGCCAGAGTAACCTCTTCTTTAACCTGTGTGAGTGTTGGATATTTTGCCCCCGCGAGGAGGAAAGTAACTAAGACAGCTATTTTTATTCTTTTGTAATTCCATACAAACTTTAAGGTTGCTTTTCAAGGATGGAGGTATAACTCAAGGGTAGAACACGTACTAAGCATGTTTGAGATTCAGAGTGCAAACCCAAGGATCAAAATACTCTTGATTTGCTTTCTCTAAAAAAAGTATGACATTGAGATTGTAAAAGAAAATACATTGGATCTGTGGATCACTTTGAGTAATGTTATGGTTTACATCTAGATGTCCTCCCAAGGCTCAAAAGCTCACAGGTGAGGCTTTTGGGAGGTGATTGGATCATGGGGGACCAGTCCAATGGCAAGTTTAGAGCTAAATGTGCTGTTAGGAGGTGGGGCCCAGTGGAAGGTGCAGGGCTGGCCTGGAAAGGTCTGTTTCCCTCCATAGCTCTTCCTTTCACTCTTTCTGCTTACAGGCCACTATGCGCTCACTGGCTCTCCTCTGCCAGCCCCTCTGCCCTGCCTGCCTTGGAGCCACCAGACTGTAGACTAAAACCTCTACAAACTGGGATCCAAAATAAACCTCTCCTCCTTGAAGTTTTAGGTATTCAGTATTTGTCTCAGCAAGGAGAAAGTAACTACAACAATATTTCCTTTATTTATGTTGTTTGATTTCTTCATCAGTGTTTTGTAGCTTTCAGTACTAAAGTCTTTTATCTTCTTGGTTAAGTTTTTTATGTACTTATCTATTAATTTTGGTGCTATTTTAAATGAGATTCTTTCCCTAATTCCCTTTTCTAGCAGTGCATTGGTCGTGCATACATACACAGTGATATTTTTCAGGGTTGAGATGGACCCCAAGGCCACATAAATACTAGGCAAGGATTCTACTACTGAACTACAACCCCAGCTCTAAATATGTATCTCCTTGATTACACTGAAATGACTTCCATTCCTACTTTGGCAAGACTTTTTATGGTGAGGGAGTTTTGTCAAACATTGTTCTTTATCAACTGAGGTGACCATGTGATTTTTATCCTTTATTCTGATAATGTGATATAACACATTGATTGAGTTTTGAATGCCAAACTGTCCTTTAACTACAGGGAAACATTTTACTTGGTCATTGTTTATAATCTTTTAAAATTTGATGTTGATTTGGATTTCCTATATTTTGTTGAAGATTTTTTTCATCTATATTGTTATGACTTGTGTCTAGATGTCCCTCCAAAGCCTCATGCGGTCATAGGTGGGGCTTTTTCAGAAGTGGTTGGGTCTAGAGGGTGCAATGATGGGAATGATTCGTGGTGCAGTACTAGGCTCAAGGTCACTAGGATTAAGGGTGTGAGTGCTGCCGCCCAGTAGCCTGGATAAAATATAAGGGTCAGAAAGAGCTGTGGTCATACCTTGTTGCTTAATTATCTTCTGCCCACCATGAGCTGCTTCTCTGTGATACCACCCTGCCTTGAGGCCAGCTGATCATGGTTTATAATCTCAGCAATGCAAAAAGTAACTATGACATATATGCATTGGGGAAATTGGCCTGTAGTTTTCTTGTAATATCTTTGGCTGTCTTTGATATCACAAAAATGTTTCATAAAATGAGTTTAGGAGTGTTCCTTTCTCTTCAATTTGTAAGAAGAATATCAAAGGGATTGGCATTAGTTCTTTCTATTCTTGGCAGAATTTTCCAATGAAACCATCTGGTCTGTGGTTTTCCATACTGAAAGGTTTTTGATTACAGACTCAACATACATACTAATTCCTATTCTATTCATATTTTCTATTTTTTCATAATTTGGTCTTGGTATGTTGTATAATTCTCAGAATTTATCTATTTATTTTGGTTATTTAGTTTGTTGGTATATAATTTTTCATCAAAATATATTATCCTTTTTATATTTGTAGCAGCAGTTATAATGTCTCTTCTTTGACTTCTGATTTTATTTATTTGAATAATCTTTCTTTTTTCTTAGTCTGCCTTAGAGTTGTTTTATCTTTTCAAAAAGCCAACTCTTATTTTTACTGATTTCTATTGTGTTTTATTTTCTATTTTATTTCTGCCATTATCTTTGTTAATTACTTCCTTCTGCTAACTTTGGAATTAGTTCTTTTTATAATTCTTCACAGTGTAAAGCTAGGCTATCTACTTGAGATCTTTCTACTTTTTAAACATAGACATCTATTGCTATGAATTTCCCTTATAGTACTGCTTTTGCTGCATCCAATAAGTTTTGGTATGTTGTATTTCATTTTCATTCATCTTGAGTTATTTTGTAACTTTCTTTTTTATTTCTTCTTTGACTTACTAGTGTGTTGGATTAAATTATAATTTATGAAATTTCCAATTTTCTTTTTGCTATTGTGTTCTAGTTTCATTCCACTGTGATAATAAAAGATACCTGGTATGCTTTCAGGCTTCTTACATTTTTAAAGAGTTGTTCTGTGACTAACATGCAATATGTCCTTGGGAAAAACCCACATGAACCTGAGAAGAATGTGCATTCTGCTGCTGCTGGAATAATGTTCTGTATGCATGCATCATTACCATTTGGTCTGGAGTGTATTATGCAGGTACTCTACTTCTTTACTGATTTTGCAGCATGAAATTCTGACCATTGTTGAAATTAGGATATTTGAATCTCACATTATTAATGCATATATCTTCTGGATTTTTGCTTCAGCTTTCTATTCTTTCAGTTGTGAGTGTTCATAATTGTTCATTTTATGATATTTTAAAATAACTTACACATCTGTATAATAATTGTTTAAAATTATTGTGAGATAATTCAACATACCTTTCATCTTGGTGCTAATATCTGTAGACATTTTTGCATTCCTTTTGAGATCTTTCTGTTTGTGGTCCAATGACTGATTCTGTATTACAACTTGGGGACTTGGGATATTATGTTATAATACTCTGGATTTTATTTAAACCCTGTGATAATCTTTTCTTTTTCCTGACAGCACTCTGAGAAGGTAAAAAAGGTGCATCCCCATCTTCATCAGGGGAGCAAAATTGCCATGTTTTCCACTTCGCCACATTGACATCTGAGGGAGGCTCTGCTATTCCTGGGTGCAGGTCGAACTCTGGCTCGTCCTTTGATTTCCACTGCTGTGCCCCAGCTGTCACGAGTGTGTTAATGCAGCCTGTGTGTCCTGCACTGACACAGCAGCTGGAGGCAGTGGGAAAGCCCTGGATCCCTGCATGCCTCATGGACCTCATCCCAGGGTGGAGTAGGACTAGTGCCTCATGACTGCAGCTGGACGGAAGCTCTGGTTTCCCTGAGTCTCCTTGATGTCTCAGAGCTCTGAGGTCTTCTCACAAGCAGACAGACAGTGCTGGTTTCCTCTTCCCTCTCTGACACCACTGAGGGCAGCTGATGACGGTGACAATCCAGGCTCCTCGCTGAAGCTTTGCTCTGGGCAGGGTGGCACCACAGCCTGTTCTGCAGTGTTTGGCTGGAGTAGAGCAGAGTCTGTCTCCAAGTTCGCTGTCTTGCTGGGCGGCCCCTTCGGTGAGCTGCTGGCTGAAGAGAAAAGGCTTCCAGGAGGCATTGCTGTGGTTGTCTGCACTTGTTGGCATTTCTGGGTGGCCACGTTCTTCACTGCATATGCGAGGTTTATAAAGCAAAAAGAAAATCCCAGGAGACTCACCACTGTGTCATTGCTTAAATCCCAAGGTCTCGAGCCAATCTGCCTTCTATTCTTCACATTTCAAGGCCTTCTTATCTCTGTCTCCTGTGTAATTTTCAAGGTTTTTAGTTGTGCTCAGTAGAAGAAATAAGGAAAAGCATATCTGCTTCCCCCCTCCCCTGTGAGAACTAATGTGATTACTTGCTTTCGTAAAGTCTACATAACTTAACAAAACATACTGTATGGGGAAGATAATAGATCTGTAAAATCTAATTGTGTTTGAAATAATTCCTATCAAATTAGGTCAGAAAGACAAACTAAAAAATCGAAAGCTTCTGCAATGGGATTGCATTTCAAGTGTCTCTAGATTCTCACAAAACCCCAGGGAAATCATAATTGGAAATTAAAGAAGTTGGACTAATCTTATGGCAGAAGAGACAGATGGTACTAATTAGGGGACATGAGCCTGTGTCCCTTTCCTTACCAATGCCATAACTGTATATTAAAAGATAGAAAAATTACTGCATACATATGTGTACAGTTGAAACATAATATATTTAAAGTTAACTTTTAACTCTTGACAGGGAAGAAATGGAAGGTGCTCATTTTCAATGCAGTGCTAGAACTTGACTTCCCACTTTCAGGGATATTCCTTTCAATTAGATAAGCCAGGAAAGTTAAGACACCTGTAGAAAGTTTTGAATTTTCAACAAGACTTAGATAATGACTGCCTAAACTCTGCATGTCTGACTGAACTAGAAAAGCCAATGTGCAGAGCAACTCTAGCTTAGCATCAATGTGCTGCACATCACTTTAAAGTGTGCCTCCAATGGGAATGTGGTCATTGTTTGCACATGTGCACACTCACTGTCACACACACATGAAGATCCTTTGGGAAACACAGCTCACCAAGCCTTGCACCTGCACTTCTGGGTGGCAGTAACCTGACATTGGAACCACTGTGATGGGGATGTCATTTTCCATTCTCTCTGGACAGCAGAACAGATGCTGTCTTGGACTTCAAAGAGATTTGACTACTCTCTGAGTTTCAATAATGAACAACAACTTTTCACAGCCTAGTTTTCAAAAAGTGTAACAAAATATACAAAGGGAAAAGATCAAGGAAGAATTCATCGGTCTTTCCTTTCTGAAATCTTTTGAGGGACAGAAAGGAAGTCAAACTAAAAACATTTGATCTTTCCCAGGAACCTGGGCTGGACTGTATTTATTGGTTTTCAAATCAGATGGTTTACTCTATGGCCTGAGATCACGGTAAAGGGCCCAAGTGTATAATGAGAAGATTGGCTTTGGGAGATCATTTGTATAGATACATATATGTTAAAAGATATGTATAAAAATAGAAAACCCAGTTGGTGCTAAACATGTCCCTTTTCTGTGCTTTTCTTTTGCTAGCTTATCTAATACTAGCTCTTGAATTTAGCTTACATAATACAATTGCAAGACAGTAATAAAAAAAGACTCAATAGTTTTGAGTATTCTGATATGCAGGTAAGTTCTAGAAAGAATATAGACAAGTGTTCTAACCAAAAAAATTAAGAATATTTCCAACACTGTTAGAAAATTTGTAATTGACTGATATAATTCAAGATTTTTAAAAATCAGGATAATGTTTTTTTGTTAATACCGTACCACAATTACAAATATCTTCAAGAGAAGCAGGTAAAGATTTGAGTTCTAAGTCTGCCAAACATCACTCTGGGAGGCTGATGTAGCAGGATTGCAAGCTTGTGCCAGCCTGGGCAACTTAGCCACTCAGTGAGATCCTGACTCAAAATGTTTAAAAATGAGAATGAGTTGGACATGTAGCTCAGTGAGGCCTTGGGATCAATGCCTAGTACTGGAAAAAAAATCTGTGGAAGCTCAGTGGGAGAAAATTAATTCTATTGGATTGGCATAAAATATGAAAACCTATACAAGAAATTGAACTATTATTGTTTCATTAATTTTTCATAAATTTTCTTTTCTAGTCTTTTATTTCTTCCTGTGTCATTTTCTCTCTTTTTGGTGAAATTGAAACAGTACTCCCTTAAGATTATTTGTAGGGATGCCCCTCAAGTACTTTTATCTGCGAGGCCCTGCTTCAGGCAAATCACAAACTATCACAGTCAGTGGTGAGGCAAAAGTCGAAGGGCCTCACTGGTGTATGTTTTTTAGCCTTACTCTTCCTAATCAGTATGTATGTCTTACATACCTTAACATTTGTTTTAAGTATACAATTCACTGATGTTTAGTGATTTACCAAGTTGTACAACTATTACCAGAGTCCAGTTATAAAACGTTTCCTTCATCCTAAAGAAAAGATTCTAGATGTTTGAAATCATAGGAGGGTATTTCTGCACAAACACTGCATACTATCTAATGATCTCATAGTGTGTACCAACATCCTCAGCATAGCTGAGATATCAGGCAGCTCTGAAACATCAGTATTGCCATGTTGAATCAGATAAATGCTCACCTCACCCTAAACAGAATAAAGTAATAAAACAAAGTAATAAAATCTGTAAGTAGCTTCTGTTTGAGTCAGATTTGGCCTATAAAGGAGCTCAGGTAGAGACATCCAATGAACTAGGAAATGATTTCAGTGTTTCGTTTTGAAATTCCAAGTAACGTATTAACCTGAAATACTCCTTGTGAGAATTTAAGAGTAAGTAAGGTGGTTAACATAGCGCCAAATACTCGGCCAACCAACTCTCTCGCTCTCCCACCCCCTATCTCCCTCCGTGTGATAGAGCTTGCAGAACAGTTTACAGAGTACTGTCTATGTGGCCAGGGGCCCTCATCCCCAGATCTTCTGCCTTATTAACTGGTGTTAAGATATTAGAGCAAAATGGGAGCTGATATTTACTCATTCTTATAAATCAGGCACTGTTCCTAATAATTTTCATGTGCATTAATTCGGTCCTTATATCTGTCCTGTGAACCAGATAGGCATCATCATTTCCCGTTGCACAGATAACAGTGTATTGTATCAGATTGCTTTGGCTCATAGAGCAGGGGAGGGTGGAAAGGAGCCTCAGAGTCAGGCACTCTGACCTCGCACCCACCTCCCAGTCCCAGGCTCTTACCTGGCAGGAATGTGGCTTCAACTCTAGGTGGGCACTGGTGCCCTAATTCTGAAATACAGAAAGAACAAAACTGTGTATCTGAATTTACTTGATGTTGCAAACTCTTAATGTTTTAGAACTACAAAAGATTGTAGTGTTTACATAATCCAAATTAATATTTTAAACTAAAGGAAATAAGATCTTTAGTTAAGGAAAAAAACCTCAAGACCTCAGGATATCAAGCAACTTAAGGTCAGACAAATAATGGAAGACTAAATTCTAGATCCACTAGTTCCTTGACAAACACTCCTTGTTGAATCCCGAAACATCATCTAATGAAATTATACATATGGTCAAATAATAATGGTCAAACAGAGTAATCCAAATTTTGTGTTTGGGGAGTAAATAATAATGCATCACTGCATAATTGTTTGATATTCTGTAATAAAAGAGGTATAGAGAAGACAGAGGTATGGAGTGGATCTATTGTAGAGAGAGGTACATAGTAGAGTAGATATGGAGTAGATAATGGAAGAATTGAGCACAACCCGGTGTATGGAAACATCGAGAGCAGAGTAATTAATTCCTCTGTGACTATATGACACAAATAGAAAAAAGAAAACACAGAAGAGGCACCTTCTGAACTGGCTCTGGTAGATGCATAGAACTGCCTTGAAGACAAAGAGGAAGGCGGGCTGCATCGAGGACGCTTGTCGGTCTGGTGGCTGGTCCAGCAAGCAGACCCACGGGAAGGTGCCCAGGCCCTGCACTGGCGATCTTCTGCAGCCAGAAGTTCCTGTGATCAGCCTAAGACTGCAGACACGTTTTCGCAGTAAGAATCTCGAGCCTTACATGCCGACGGTGCTTTGTTTAGCTGCAGTTTCAGAACCCTAAAGCTCTTTATTGCTTCTGTGGGCACTTAAGAGATACTTTCAATTCTTTTGGCTTCTTTGATTTCTTCTAATGAAGCGAGAGTAAGACAGGACCCTTGTACCTCTCTTTGAGTCACACTATCCTGGTATAGTCTCTGGATCAGAGTAGAAACTTAATGTAAATATTTTAACAAAAAATGTTTATTGGGCACAACATACAGCATTTTATGTGCATTTTTGTTTTAATTCTAACATTAGCCCTATGAAAAGATACCAAGATTAGTCCAGAGAACTGAAATTTAGAGACTGAGAGCAAGCTGTTTAATGTGTAGACTTCCAACAAAACACAGACTCATGTTGTCTACCTGCCTTTAACATTTTCAAAATGTGCTGGTCATTTATTATTATTTTCATGACGTTACTGGCTCATAATTTTCTCAGTGTAAGATATATTTTATGTGAACTGATACAGAATTTCAAGGTGCCATGTTTGTATGGGATGGAAAATCAGGAAAAGTCAACATGTTTTTCAAGAAAATTAAAAAATATAATACAAATGAGTGTGGGGATATTTTTAATGTTTAAGTACTTTTCTTTCCCTTTTTGATGGTACTAGAGATTAAATCCAGAGCCTCATGCATTCTAGGCAAGCCCTCAACTACTGAGCTACAACCTCAACCCTTTCTATTTTATTTTTGAGTCAGGGTCTTGTGAAATTTCCCAGACTAACCTCAAATTGGAGATTTTCCTGCCTCAGACTCCAGAGTAGCTGGGATTATAGGTGTGCACCACCACCATTCCCGTATATGTGCAAATCCTTCTCAGGGATGTGGTAGAAGGGTCTTTTGACTAAGATTTTTTAAGTATAGAAAATATTTATACAATTTATCATGTTAAAGCTCTTTCTATTAAGGCCTTTAAAATTTAAAGTGCACATACACTCCAACATATGTGAACAATGCAGGCTTATTTTCATCCTGCCTGGTTTCAGAACCAAGTTTATAGATCAGACACGTCCAGAATTAGAAGCATCAGTAGTTCCTGGGTTCAGATCCATCCCCAACACCTCACT